GCCGCCAGCAGGGACACTTCCCACTAGGTCAGTTTGTTCCCATCCAGCCTGGCCTCCCAGGGGTGAGGCATCCGCAGCTTTCTTTGAGCAGCCTGTGCACTACCCTGGCTCTAAGGAATTTCTTCTAAATACCTAACCTAAATGTACCCTCTTCTAGTTTAAAGCCGTTACCCTTTGTCCTGTCACTCCATGCCGTTACCAAAATAATCCTTCCTCAGCTCTCCTGCAGCCCCTCCAGGCACTGGAAGGTGCTCTGAGCTGTCCCCAGAGCAGAACAACCCCAACCCCTCAGCCTGGCTGCAGAGCAGAAGTGCTCCAGCCCTCGGACCATTCCGCGGCCCTCCCCTGGCCTCCAAGAGCTCCATGTCCTTCCTGTGGTGGGGGCTGCAGAGCGGAACGCGGTGCTGCAGGTGGGGTCTCACAAGAGCAGAGCAGAGGGGCCGAACTGCTGAAAAGCCGAGCAGGTTTGCAGAGGCAGGGCAGGAGGAAGGTGTCCACTGCTCTGCCTCACCCAGCAAACACCACCCTGGGGCATCAGAGCATCACCTCACTCGTTAGCCAAGGATTCAGGTTTTGGCCAGGTTAGTCTGCTGCTAATAAGGCGAAATAAACCAGCTCAGCCAAGGGGGTTGAGAGGCACCAGAACGTACACTCCAGAGAAACATCTCACATTCCACACCACAAATGGAATGTACTACATTCTTCCATTGCCCGTGCTTGTTAAAATATCTTAAGCATTGCCACAATAAAAAAATCTCTTCTATACAGGGTATGTCATCGCTATATACCAGTGCCCCCTGGAAAGTCAAATGCCTAGTCATTTTCCCTGCTGATTCCATGACATCAATGTCATTCCTCTCCGCTAGCTACATAAACTATTTGGCTTTTTTTTTTCTCCCGAGACTCACACACAGATTTTACATGCTTTCTTTCATTTATACAACCCTCTGCATTCAGGTCATAGTAGGAAAATTCATCAAAGAAGGAACTATCAGGTCACCACCCTTCAGGAGAATTTAAACCCGCCTTGTATTCACATGCTGTCAACTAAAACATGGTATACAGAGAAGTCAGACTGATTTCCACCCATATAAATTTTCAACTGGTAAACATAACATCAAAATGAAAACCAAAAGTCTTAGATAAAATCAGTTGTATTTTTATTCAGCTCTTCAAAGAGTTTTAAGATTAACTACATGTATTCATTAAGCCTTTTCCTCAAAGGCTATCCAAATGCTACTGTCTCTTTTAAAATAGGTGAGCTACCTAGGTAAAAAACAAAACAAAACAAAAAACCCCAAAAAACCCCAAACAACCCAGAACAACAAACCTTGCAGTGTATCTTTGGAAGAAAATGTCTTGCAATTCATGTAAGAGCTTGAATATTTATATCTCAACTCCTTAAATGCATCAAAGTCAACATTTCTTAAGAAATGGCACTCAGAACCTTAGTCAATTATGTCTTACTGAGGTTAGCCTGACTGGAATGGTACCTTAGCTACAGTCTACCAAGTTTCAATGCAATAAAAACACTTATACTGAACAGATCACATAATAACATGGTATTTTGGTTTCAAGGTATGGCAAGCCCCAAGAAAAACAACTGCATTCATAAAACAGATATATATATATATATCTCCTGCTTGGAGAAAATGCCTTTTTTGGGGGGTTAAGGAACTATACTAACCTGAAAAACCAACAGATAATAGATTTTGTCAGTATTTTCTGGAGTTCTACAATACAGATATAACAAAAAATGTAGAAATAAATAATATAGCCACAGCCCATATTTTCAGAAACACCTCTTTAGCTGCAGGACATATGAAAGTTTGGGTTGTACACGTATACACATATATGGGGTGTTCATACTGACACTGTGCGCCCACATAAAGATTGTCTTATTGTCATGACATTAAATTTATGTAATATAGTTCTACTGAAGTGCCTAACCAGAAGTCAGTGACATGGAAAAGCATAAATACAGCTGAAAAAGCAGCACTAAATCACTAATAATTCAAGAAAATTCTTTAAGTAAGTGTTTTAGCCCATCACATTACTTAGTTCACATTTTTTTTTTTTTTTTAGAAAAGTGCTGTAAAAAGACCAATTCTAAATCCTACCCTTATGTTCAATAAACTCATCAAGATTGGGTGGGAAGCAACATATTTCTCTATTCTCCAGAGAAAGATCTTCTCTAGGAACAGCCTATGTGCATGTGGCTCTTTGGATGATGACCTTAAGCTATCACAAAGACAAATGCCTATTTTTATATTCCATTCTTTTTATGCATGTTGATTTATTCAAGACAGGTATCACATGACTGTGCAGAGAGAGGTCAATTTCTTCTGCTGCTGTCTCTTAAGAACACATCATATGGATTTTTAACAAGGTGATTCTTTAACACAGCCTTTAAGAAGCTTAGAAACTTTGGAGGCATCCCAGATTACTTTGAGAATTTGAACTTGGACAAAAAAAAAAAAATTCTTTCAGGGAATTTAAGCCAGGCACCATTATTAACATAAATCATAATTGTATTTTGATAATTCTTACTAAGTTTTATAAGAGGCACTTTTGTGGACAGAGCACGAACATTAAAAGATTCAAGAGTATTATACATTTATGACTGTTACTTTGTTGCATTGTTATATTGGCAAAAGAAGCAAGACCAATAAAAGCAAAATTCCACTGAAATGAAAATTTCCAGTCAATCCAAAGTAGGTTTCTGTCAAGAACAACTCCACTGCACAAGCAGTTAGGAGACTAAAGCTCTTGTTACATGAGATACAACTGGCAACTGACCTGTTTTTCTTGTATAAAACCGTCTGCAACTACATCTTACTTATTATCTAAGGTTTTCAAGGCTTTTACGATTTTAACTTCATACATTTTTACAATAAATTAACAATGAACAGAAGAGCTGTAGGAATTGAATGACTGTCAGTGGCAAAACCACAACTCCAAAATCCTGTCCTCCCCTCTGCAAACATTTCAAAGACCACATCCCTTGTACCTGTGCCACATTATGTAAACTTTTCAGAAGAAAATGGTACAAAATGCTTATATGAAAAGGCTGCTGTCCAGTGAGGAGGTGCATGTCAGATGACATCACCCAGCCCAGTAAGAATCTTCCAAAGGTTAAAAAAAAATCCTGCAGAGACCATTTCAAACTTCCAAATAGCATTCCCACAGAAGCACTGGAAAATATTTTAAATTCAATCATTGGTCAGCTTGGTGACTTTTTAATTTTCAGACTTCTCAACAGATCATCTGCGACTCAGGAACTCCATTTAATCCTAGTCAGGCAAAGAGGGACATGCCACCTAAGACCTCTTTGGGAAAAGAGAGGCAAATCCATACTACCAATCTCAGTGTCAAATTTTCACTCTATGCAATCCAAAACAAGTAGTAATGAAAAACAGAAGAATCCATTTTATTCATAGGTAGTATAGATAATTGCATAGTAGTTGATGTATATGTAATAACTGAGATATGCTGAAGCAATTAGTGCACTTCAACCCAAACAGTTCGGACTTTTCTAAGTACATATTAAGAAAAAAAACCAAATAAAACCCCCAGCACCAACAACGTAACATGTATGTTACTTCTCAAATGATGCTGTCAGATCTGCTCTCAGTTCCTTGTCCCTCTCCAAAATACAGCTTGCAGCCATGTTCATGACCGTTTCCTGGCTGGCTGGCCCAAAACACACTTGGTGCGCTTCCTTAGCTACAACCTGTAGCTAAGCTGAGACTCCAATGAAATCTTTCATGGTTGTGCTTCCAGCACTTGTACCGTTTTTAAGATCCTGTCACCTGTTCCTGCTCAGAGCAGCTGTCTGTCATGGTAATCAAGATGTTTTTATGCAATCATTGGCATGACATCTACACTAGGGATTTACTCATAAGATCCTTCTGATTACACAGGTGGAAGGTATTAAAGATTTTCTTTC